GTTTCATGCTAGTGATTTCATAAATACCTTTTGTTGGTTTTATTCCTAGAGGTTTTATGTTTTTGGTGCTAATGTAAGTTACATCATTTTGCATTTAATTTCCATTTTCATGTTGCTGCTTATACAGAAATGAGATTGATTTTTGTTTAATTGCTCTTGTATCCAGTGGTCCAGTTAAATCCATATTTTTAATGGTCTATAAATTCTTTTGGATTTTCTACATACACATCATGGTATCCATAGTTATTTACGATTTTGTGTTTTACCTTACACTGGTAATATTTCAATTGTTAAGCTGGGTACATTGATGTTCATTATATTATTGTTATTGTTCAAGCCATTTTGAATGCCTGAGATATTTATGTTGTTGTTGCTGTTAGGTGCCATTGAGTCAGCTCCAACTCACAGCGACCCCATGTACACCAGAACGAAACACTGCCTGGTCCTGTGACATCCTCACAATCCTTGCTAGGCTTGAGCCCATGATTGCAGTCACTGTGCTAATCCATCTTGTTGAGGGCCTTCCCTTTTTTCTCTGAGCCTCTACTTTACCAAACATGATATCCTTTTCCAGGGACTGGTCCCTTCTGACAACATAACCAAACTACATGAGATGAAGTCTGGCTATTCTCACTTCTAAGGGGCATTCCAGCCATATTTCTTCCAAGGCAAAATTGTTTACTCTTCTGACAGTCCATGGTCTTTTCAGTGTTCTTTGCCAACACCACAATTCAAATGCATCAATTCTTTGATCTTCCTTAGTCATTGTCCAGCTTTCACAAGCATAGGAGGCTTTTGAAAATTTCATTTTTTAAAATGACTTTAAAGAGGTCTTTTGCAGCAGAATTACCTAGTGCAAAACTGAGCAAAAAAAAAGATTTATAATATTTAAACAATTAACTGATTGAAAAAGTTTTAAATGATGATAATATTTTTCTATAAGTAAAATTTATTATAAGAACATCAGAATCGCTCCCTTCATTTGGAACTGTCGCCAGAGTTAGTCATAAAAGTTGTTCTCAATGAGCTTGTTGTAGTCAATGCTGTCCCTTCTGTGCCTCTCCCACTAAACTTGCTAAATGTTGGTGTTGACCCACATGTTGTTGTTGTTGTTATTTGCCGTCGAGTTGCCCCCGACTCATAGTGACCCCTCCTTGGGTTTCCGAGGCAGTATCACTACGGAAGTAGGATTGCCCAACCTTCCTTCCGAGGAGTGGCTGGTGGGTTTGAACCGCCAGCCTTCTGGTTAGCAGTCAAGTGCTTTAGCCACTATGCTACCAGAGCTCCCGTTGACCCACATAGCTCCCCCTTATTCCCTTCTAACTTCTAAAGTAATCCTGAGCTGCACTTTGTATCAATCACATAAAGTCTTCTGCAAAGCTGTAAGAATCAGCTTGGAGATTTTACCCTTCTTGCAAAGTCACAAATACCATTTCCATGGTTTTAGGAGATTTTTAACAGGGGATATTCAAGGTTTTTGTTTTGTTTTGTTTTGTTGCTGATTCTTGAGACCTGTGAGAACATACTGCAAATTCACTCTTCTTAAATTTGCATTTCAATGGAACCCCTGGCAAATGTACAATGGCCTGACTAAAGCAAGGATTTGGGAACCATATTTATTCACAAGACATTGGTGAGGAATATCCATCCTTCTTTCCTCAGTTGGGTAATAACATGGTCTTCAACCCAGCTCAGAACTACATCTTATCTCATTACCTTTCTTAGCACAATGGCGGCTCACTGAACTCTATCTTCATTGTTCTCAGTACTCTACAGATATTGCTAATGGTAAGCACTCAGCAGGAACACTAATTTCTGTAAAATGTTTCTCGAGAAATTCAAGGCTCCTCAATGGTTAACTACTAGATCTACATCTCCCCACATAGGGCTAGGGCTAGGGCTAGGGCTCTGGCCCCAACAGCGGTCACCCAGACTGAAACACTGGCATTGTATCTACAGAGAGATGGCCCTCAAGACACAGGTAGTGGAGTTGCTATCTACCAGCCTGACCTCTCCCACCATCCAGTCCAGAAGCCATGGTTCTAGCTTGTCTGCTCTCTGTTCTAATACAAAACCAAGCTTCGATAGGTTTGGAAACTCTGTCCTGCATCTCCTTCATTGGCATGAACAAATGGAAACTTAACTAGTTACAGCTATGGAATGTTGAGGCTAACTTTGGCAAATGACTCTATTTCTCCAATATAATGTGCCCTATTAGTTAATTTTTTTTTGTCAATCGTAGTCACATTTATTAGATCAAAATCAGAAAGACTTTTTTCTTTAAATTCCGTGTCTGCAATGCAATGAGTTTTTCTTTATGCATGGCCTTTCTGGTTTTGAGATTATAATTCTGTGAAAAATAACTGGTTGGGGCTACAGCCTGGTAATAGGACAAGTCTTTACTTTCTAATCTACCAAACCAGCTCCTCTAGAAGAAAACAGTATTGGGGGTCTTTTGTATTTTGGGTAATAAATTATTTTTAGCCCCCCAATATAATAAAGAATAAATGTTCCAATTAGATATTAAAAGTTGTTACAATGACTTCAGCAGTGATCCTTGAATCCATTTCCCTAAAAAGGTTTCTTACCAATCTATCTTCACGACCTCTATTAAACCAAAAAAACCAAACTCACTGCTGTCAAGTCAGATCTGACTCATAGCAACCCCTCCTTGGGTTCCCGAGGTGGTATCACTATGGAAGTAGACTGCCCAATCTTCCTTCTGAGGAGTGGCTGGTGGGTTTGAACTGCCAACCTTCTAGTTAGCAGTCAAATGCCTTAGGCACTAGCCACCAGAGCTCCTATTGACTCTATTATCAGATAGTAAAAATAATCAGTGTCCTAAAAATCACTCCAAGGATTCAGCATTAGGTGGTACATTGGATTTACATTGAATTTTGTTTATGGATTAAATTTTTCAACTTGCACATTTAACATAACTTAATCCCCCATACTAAGATACTTCTACTGCTACACCTTAGAATGGACGTTTTCTGCAAATTATCACAATATCGATAATCTGAAGAATACACAAATATTTTTATTTTTTTTTGCTTAATGATACAGAATACAAATGCTAGCAATATATATTCACATGTAACTTTTCCTCTCTTCACAAAAGATTGGTGAATCCAGAGGAACTGCTGTATCACTATATGTTGCATACTGTCTTAGCATTTCAATAGTTTATTCTAACCTACTTCTTGTTTTATATTCTAAAACATCTTTACTGTGTTGTCTGTTGAGATAGACCCACAAGCAGACTGTGGTGCCCAAGGTCAGTCCAACTTTCAGCCAATCAGGTTTGCTATTCAGCGGCTCCCGAACATAGAACTTTGACCTCACTGAAAGGCAGCTCGGAACCGGGCCAGGGCCAGCAGGCAGGAGAAGGGGCACAGCAATACAGGCAGTGCCATCTTGCTGGCTGGGCTCCATATTATTTAATTTTTAGTATTTATTCCTTTATTTCTCTACTAGGTGCACAAAATACAGAGATAAAAATTTAAAAATAGGGAGAAAAACTGAAATAACATTTTTATTTCAGTTTGACCTAAACTAAAATGTATTATTTCTTTACATTTGATACCTCTTTTAATTAAATAAGAAACTTTTAATGCACAAAGTAGCAATAACTGTATATCCAGTCCACCACTCGTCTGTCAGTTTGTCGTACTGTGGTGCCTTGCATGTTGCCATGAGGCTGGAGGCTGTGCCACTGGTATTTCAAATGCCAGCAGGGTCACACATGGGGGACAGGTTTCAATGGCGCTTCCAGACTAAGAGAGACTCGGAAGAGGGAAGAGCCCATCCACTTCTCGAAGAATTGGCCAGTGGAAACCTTGTGAATAGCAGAGAAACACTGTCTGATCCATTACTGGGCAACTTCATGAATGTCCCTGAAACATTGCCTGATCTACAGTGGCTGTGGCACTAGGCTCAGACATAGCGAGGATTGTGAGGCCAGTGCAGAACCGGGCAGTGTTTCATTCTGCTGTAGTCTGCTATGAGGCGGAGCCGACTGGACGGCACGTAGGAACAACATAAATACAGTAACTCAGCCCTTTTTCCAAAATCTATCACAGAAGTTGGCAGCTGTAAAACGTATAGATGCTAGAGCTTATCCATGCCCACCAATTGAAGGCTTGGCAGCTCCATCCCTACTTTCTTCTGTCTATAAATCAGAGATCGGCCTGAAATGTAAACATGGGGACATTGCAAAATTGTGAGCAATCCCTTTTGTTCAGAGATGCGGAAGCTAGCCAGAGAGGAATGGCTAGATGAGGCCAGGTTGTTCCCACCTTGTGGGAACAGTGCTGTTCACATTTTCCAGAGAAGTTTTTTATTTCCTCAGAGCATTCTGATTCTTCCAGCCATTCATGAGGGTGGTGAGCCCCTGCTCATCTGGACGCTGTGGCTGGGGAGGGCTGGAATTATACCTGGTACCTGTAACTGTGCAAGTAACAGTGAGTGGTAGGGCATGTGTTGAGTCTAATGTCTAGGGACAGGCATTTCCTGAGCACTTGCCCACAGTGGTGAATGTTTAGAGAACATTGTGTTATTCCTAGTTTGCCTCTCAAGTGGTTTTCACTATGAAATCACCGAGGAGAGACAAAGCAAAGAATGATCATTTTAAAAATATTCATTAAACTAAAAGTCTGAGGCAGGAAGATTAACTGTCGCCACTCAGGTGGTTTTCCCATGAGGCACCAAACAGTGTGCATGTGTAGAGAAGGCACTAACTCCCTCGCAGCACCTGTATTTGTAAGAGCAGTCAGTTGCTTCTTCCAGGTAAGGATGTGATCTGGGCCAGCCACGAGGCCTCCCCTCTAAGTGGGCTGTGTCTCCTTCCTTGTGGTCGATTGTAGATATGGTTGTCTGAGCCTTCATGGTGTCCCTTAAACCTGTGGCCTCTTCAGAATGTGCAGCTGGGAAGCCCCTCTTGAGGTGCATTTGTGGGGCTCGCTGGCTCCTGCAGCACTAAGCCGTGTTTTCTCCCCCAGGACAAATGACACGGGGCTGCTCTCCCACAAGGAGCACCTGCCAGTGACAAGGATTGTGATCACTGACGTGAGTCGGCCCAGCTCGGAGGTGGCATTTCGACTGGGACCGCTGCTTTGCCGGGGGGACAGTAAGTACAGGTCCCCATCCTCACCAGTGTGTCCTCCACCCACCTGGAGACCTGCATGTCACTGGTGGAGGGTTAGGAAAGTGGTTGCATGGCTGTTAGTTGGTGTTCTCTTCAAGCAGTTGCTATGAGAGGCGGAGAAAGCACCAGGGGCGCCTCAGCGGGAGTCAGCATGGATGCGTGGAAGGGCAGTCCGGGACTAGAGGGCCTCATGGCGTGTGGGGACACCTCCTGGCCCACTCTCCTTCACACAAGAGGTCTCTGGGGCTGCACGGTACTGTGCTTCAGAACCTTCCTACCATGGCTGGGCTGAAACAAGAGCATCGTGTGGGACAAACATCGAACCAGATGCAAGTCACCTCTGCTTTCTCCTCTCCCTGCAGCTCCCTCCTCCTCCTCCTCCTCCCCCTCCTCTTCTTCTCTCTCCCTCTCTCTCTCTCTCTTTCTCTCTCCCCTTTCACCTAGAAGTGACAGTTCCTGAGATTTTGTCCATGGACCACATCTAGAGTAGCATTTAAGAAATGTAGGTGATGTTTATAGCAACTATACATTTTCCTCAGGGAACTCCCCAGATGGAGGCCTGTGGCCATTGACTCTTCTGTAAGGCTGCTGGGCCTGGCTCCCTTGAGGTAAGAGGAATGGGATGTGTAGTCACAAGGTACTTTTGAAGACACCAAGTGTCTCCCTGCTCCTCGCTGGGTTGAGCCCCCATTTTAACCCTTGATTAGAACATAAAATTAAAATGGAAGAAATACTGGTTTTCAAGTTAAAGCTGTACTATAACTTTAGTTGTTGCTGGGCTTGAAAGGAGGAGGTATGTGTGATAACCCCTCCAACAGCAGAAGGAAGTAGCTGCAGTTGAAACTCAGACAGACATGGTAGAGAAGAGGGATGTAGAAATTAGCCATGAAAATCATCGTCCCTGAACGCAGCCAATTCTGTCCCCTTGATTTCTTCTCTCCAGGGTGTGTACTGAGGATAAGGCCACAGGTCCAAGGCACAGGCTGGACAGTGGCAGAACCTCCTGGTCCTGGTGGCTCAGTGGGCTGTGTCCTCATCCCACACTCTGTGTCTGTCCTGACCTTTGGAGACTCCAAGACTGGAATGCTCTTGGTTCTCTGTGCTTCTGTTCAGTCCAACATCACATGGAAATGATAAGATGTACTCCTCTCCTAAGATTTTCAACAGTTTTTGTGGTCCTCAACTTTCATTACCCCTCTATAGACTCAGGGTTTCTGGGAGAGAATTGGAAATTTTTTCTGTTCATCACCACTTCTCCATGAGGTTTTTAGTCTGTGGGTGCAAGGAGGACGATCTCCATCTTGTTTAAGAGCCATGACATGAACTGACCACCCAGGGCAGGCGGGGCACATGCCAGTCACACTGGGGACTGAACACTAGTCCTGGCTGTGGTGGCCAGTACCTGTGCAGACACTGGTGTCTGCCTTGCTGACCACACTCGTGTGAGGGGAACATCAGCTTGGGTCCAGGTGGCAGCCACTTAGGGCTTCAATTCAACCTTCTGAGAGTTTGCTTTGTTTGTTGCAGATGGTCAGTTTTTATTTTTGCTAATTTTTCTTCATCCCCCCCAGTCTTTGGGAGAGAGAAAGTCTGTGAACTAGCTTCATCCCAGCATCTAAACCCAGAAGTTTGTACACAAACATCTTAAATGTGGAAAAAGAGATCCTCACCTGCACTTTGAGCTTGATCATCTGACCTGCTGAGTCATTTTTAATATTTGGCCTTTGAATGCTGCAGCCCATTTTATTCAGTGTATTTCCTTTCAGGTAATTTATTCCATTAAAATTTTAAATTTAATCTAAGTGTCCTCCCTGCTGATGTGGCCACAGAAGTTCGAAAACTTTGTTCTAACTACTCTGTGCTATGAAAAGGCATTATTGAGCCACTGAAGTGAGTTCTTTCATTTTGTCTGCAGCAGCCAGAACAGTTGTCTGGGAAATCATAGCTGCCCAGGACACATTAATATTTAAGGTGAACACGGCAATAAACAACCCCATGGAAGAAGACAGACCTGTAGAGTGATGATTTCATTAATTCCTCTTCCATTTGGCGCTGCTGCATCTAAACCACCTCAGACAAAGGATCAATCCCATTTCCAGCAGTCCCTGGACAACAGTGTTTTATAACTTCCCTGGTAGCCAACTCTACTCAGAGCCAATAGTCTTCTGCCATTTTGAAATTCATACAGTATTTCATTTCCTTGCATCCCCTTGGGGTTGTTTTAATTTCCCTGGCCAAGCCCCCTTCCTCCCCTCTCCTTCCATATCCCCGTAGCCTCTTCCTTTTTCTCCCTCTCCTCCTCCTCTTCTCCTTCTCCCTCCCACTTTTCTCTTCTCGTTCTTCCTCCCACCACCTCGCTCTTTTCATTTGCTCCACAAATAATGTGAGTGGGTTTATAGGCAGACGCACTATAATCAAAAGCAGTGCACTAAATGTCTCATTGTTAAAGAAAAAGGAGTGTGCTATTGTCATTTAGCCACACTTACTGAATGCCTCCATTGGTGCATCGGGGAGCAGAGTGGTCAGTCATCTCTCTCCTCCAGAGCACATGTGGAGTGGCGATGTGGAATGAAGCCATGCACAAACAGGCTTAGTATGGCAGTGAGTGCAATGGGGAGAATGAAGGAAGAGGGGGAGGTAGGGAGCTTTTATTGAGAAAGTGGTATCAGGACAGAACTCAGAGAACCACGGGAGGCATCCTGGAGTAGCACAGGGTGCAGCAGTCAGGCAGAGGGGGCACCAAGTGGGTGGGGGCTGGTGGGAGCCCAGTGAAGACTGGGCTGGCGTTGACAAGCAGGAGGGCAGGACTGGGAAACTTGGATGAGGAATGTGGTTTGGAGGGAAAAGCGGAAGGGTTTAATCAACAGATCGGATGTGAGTTACGAGTAGTCAAAGATGACAGCAAGCTCCAGATCTAAAGGAAGGAAGATGGGGCTGCCATTGATGGAAGGGACGACAGTGGGGTGTGTTCTGGAGTCGGGGGACACGGGCTCAGTGTTGAATATGCTGTGCTAGGTGCTACAAAAGGGTGCATACTGCCATTGATGGAAGGGTCTATAGTGGGGTATGTTCTGGAGTTGGGGGACACGGGCTGTATTGAATGTGCTGTGCTAGGTGCCACAAAAGGTGCATGCTGGGCTGGGGCATGGAGGCTCAGTGTTGGACATGCTGTGCCAAATGCCTGTGAGAGGAGCACAGATATTGAGAGGGGAAGGGAGTGGACAATTGGCCCTACTCCTCCAGAGACCCAAATGGGGTCACCTCACCACTGATAGGAGGATCAGAGGAAATGAGACTGGATAAGGTCCACATGGCAGTGAGTGTGGGGAGAGAGAGGGCCAGGGATAGATCCTGGGGGACCCCAGGTATAGAGTCAGGAGAATGGCAAGGAGTCTGGGACAACAGTGTGCCAGCAAGAAGAGGAAAACCACAGACCGCAGAGGGTGTCGCCGCACAGGCCATTATGGTTGGGCCAGGGACATGGCTGTTGGGCATGAACAGGGCATGTCACTGGAGACTGTCCGCCATCTCCACTGCGGTGCCAAAATACACTTCCTAGGCTGCACCTGACCCCACCCACACGGTCTCGCCCATGCGAGATCCCACCCAGGGAGCCCTTCCCACCTTCACAGCCTTTTCCACTTCAGTATAAGCATTATGAGGAGGCAGTGGATATAGACACTGGCACTGAGTTGATTCCAGCTCATAGTGACCCTGTAGGACAGAGCACGGCTTCCCCATAGGGTTTCCAAAGCTGTCACTTTTATGACGCACACTGCCGCATGTTTCTCCCGCAGAGCAGCTGGTGAGTTTGAACCTCCAACCCATCAGTTAGCAGCCAAGTGCTTAACCACTGCACCAACAGGGCTCCTTGAGTGAGAGTAACACACGGAAAACCCAATCAAAATCACTCATTTATTCTTTGCTATATATTTTATCTTGTGCCAAAAAGAAAGTGGGAGAGGACATTAAACCTTTGCATCCAAAGTTACTCATTTTACTTATCTGGCTTGCTGTTCCTAAGTGTGCAAAAGAATATGCAGCAATAGTAAGAAAATGCAACCTGTGTGCCACTGTGCCTTAGCTGGTAAAATCGTCTGTGTGCATGCCTTTGGAGTAGCAATAATCTATGCACTAGTTGGTAAAGTCATGCGTGTGTGTGCGTGCATGGGTGTGTGTGGGTGCATGGGTGTGTGTGTGTGCACGTATGTGTGGAACTTCAATATCTATGCACTAGTTGGTAAAATTGTGTGTGCGTGCAGGTGTGTGCATGTAGGTACATGCATGGGTGCATGTTTGCATGCGTGTGTGTGCGTGTGCATGTGTGTCTGTGTGGAATATCAATAATCTACGCACTAGGTGCTAATATCAGCAGAGACCCAGAAACAAAGGTAAGCACTGAAGACTGATGAACACCTTTCTACAATGTGGATGTAAGCTCAGTCCATTGTGTGAACAACTTTGGGGAACAATTAACACTTTTCTGTGTGCCATATCCATTTCATATGTCTGTGTGCAGCGTGATGTCTGCTCTGTGTAGCTAGATGTGAAGAGCTTTGTTCTTCTTTCCAGCTGGTCTGCGGACCAAAACCATAATTACACCAGCCATATTTCATCATTTTCATTTTCATTTTGCTTTACATTTGATCTCATTTGTTATTTTCTCAAACATTTGAAAACAGCATTTAAAAGTCATCAGAGAGGACCCGCTCAAGTACAAAATCAGGACGTGAATGTTTATGTTCTCAGCGTGCAGGTTACAACCACGGAGCTGCTCCCTTGTGGTTGAAAAGCTGCATATCCCGGTTTAGTCTCTTAAATGTGGTTGAAAACGTGACTTTGACTAGCAGTACAGTTCTCACCTTTGCATTTCATCATCTGTCTCCATAATTTAAGGAGAAAGATTTGGAATATTTTACAGCTTTTATTTTGGGAGTAAACGTTTTGTTTTATAAAGCAATGTGCCTTTTCATTTTTAAAAG